AAAAAAAAAAAAAAAAAAAGGCCGGATCTTGCCAGCTGTTACATGAAATTTGAATTTCAAAATTTGAAACCTTTACAGTGCATTTCATTTGCCGTTACCATCCCACCAGGTAGCCCGTTGCCATTTTCACATGTCTTCTCTCTCCTCGCACTAAAACCAAAAAAAGAAAAAAAAATAAAAAAAGAAAACAGTTCTCTCTCCCTTCTCCCTTTATAAACCAGTCCACTCTCTCTCTCTCTCTCCGTAAAAAGATAACCCCTCAATCTCTCCCTCCGTCCTTCATCCTCTCGCATTTCTTGTTTCTTCGATTTCTTCTGCAAAAAATGAGAGAGATCCTTCACGTTCAGGGTGGGCAATGTGGCAACCAGATCGGTGCCAAGTTTTGGGAGGTGGTTTGCGCCGAGCACGGCATCGACACCACCGGAAAGTACGGTGGTGATTCCGAACTTCAGCTCGAGAGGATTAATGTGTACTACAATGAAGCCAGTTGCGGTAGGTATGTACCTCGTGCTGTTCTTATGGATCTCGAGCCCGGCACTATGGACAGTATCAGATCTGGACTTTATGGCCAGATCTTCAGGCCGGATAACTTTGTTTTTGGTCAATCTGGTGCTGGAAACAACTGGGCGAAAGGACATTATACCGAAGGCGCTGAGCTTATTGATTCCGTGCTCGATGTTGTCCGGAAGGAGGCAGAGAACTGTGATTGCTTGCAAGGTTTGCTCTCGATCTGCCTCTATTGTTGTGATTTTTTTAATCTCCATCTCTCTTTGTGATTTTGACCGACACTCCTGTGGTTTACGGTAATTTAGGGTTTCAGGTCTGCCATTCTCTAGGAGGAGGAACTGGATCTGGAATGGGAACACTTCTGATTTCGAAGATCAGAGAAGAATACCCCGACAGGATGATGCTTACTTTCTCTGTCTTTCCATCTCCCAAGGTCTCTGATACTGTCGTTGAGCCTTACAATGCAACTCTCTCAGTTCATCAACTGGTTGAGAATGCAGATGAGTGCATGGTTCTTGACAACGAAGCTCTTTACGATATCTGCTTCCGTACTCTCAAGCTCACCACTCCAAGCTGTAAGATCAATCTTCCTTTACAGAGCTTTCTGTAAATTGTTCACAAGATCTAGTACCTGAATCGTGTTCGTCTAGTGATTTTGACCTGGATATCTTAAATCATAGGTGTTTTTCTTATTGTTTTGCGTTTAAACTGAAGTTGGTTTAATTCATTCATTCATTTGCACTAATCTGTATCTGTATGGTTGGAGCAGTTGGTGATTTGAATCATTTGATCTCTGCAACAATGTCTGGTGTGACTTGCTGTTTGAGATTCCCTGGACAACTCAACTCAGATCTCAGAAAGCTCGCTGTTAATCTCATTCCCTTCCCTCGTCTCCACTTTTTCATGGTGGGTTTTGCTCCTCTTACATCTCGTGGTTCTCAGCAGTACAGAGCACTGACTGTGCCCGAGCTTACTCAACAAATGTGGGATGCCAAGAACATGATGTGTGCGGCCGACCCACGACACGGTCGCTACTTAACTGCCTCTGCTATGTTCAGAGGCAAGATGAGCACAAAGGAGGTCGATGAGCAAATGCTCAACGTACAGAACAAGAACTCCTCTTACTTCGTGGAGTGGATTCCAAACAATGTCAAATCGACTGTTTGTGATATCCCTCCCACCGGTTTGAAAATGGCTTCGACTTTCATCGGAAATTCCACATCGATTCAGGAAATGTTCCGACGTGTGAGCGAACAGTTCACTGCCATGTTTAGGAGGAAAGCTTTCTTGCATTGGTACACCGGTGAAGGTATGGACGAGATGGAGTTCACCGAGGCCGAAAGTAACATGAACGATCTGGTTTCGGAATACCAGCAGTACCAAGATGCCACAGCTGATGAGGAATATTACGAGGAAGAAGAAGAGGAACCTGAAGATGTGTAAGATGAAGAAGATAGTATGGGGTTCCTTCCATGTTTGTTGTAGGGATGTAATATGTTGCAACTTTTGCAACTATCTGTTGCCAGTCATGAATGTTTTTTTTTCTTCTTTTTTCTGTTGTCTTTTATTATGTGCTTAACTTTTGGAACTGATTGTGTCTTCACTCTGTTCAAATTTTAACCTACTACCTAATATGAATTTTTGTTCAATTCCCATGTGAAATCTCAAGTGTATCCCTTCGAATTATTTAGTAGCATAAGCCTAGTGTGGAATTGTGCTGAAAGCTGTTCTTTGTTTTTGCTTCGGAAAGACCTATTATCAATTATTGATTAAGCAAGTAAAAATATAACAAGGGTATTGCTACCATATATTGTGCTTGCTTTGGACTTTTCCCTTTTTGACTTTTCAAGGTTTTAAAATTGTGTCTCTACTTGGAATAGGTTTTCACACCATTCTCTTATTCAACTGATGTGTGATTTTCATAATCCTCCTCCTTTTGGGGTTAGCGTCTTCGTTGACACTCGTTCTCCTTGCACTTGTTCCCTTCTCCAATTGGGACCTCTAATCCACCTCCCCCTTCGAGGCTTTGCCTAGGCTAACACATCACTTAGTTCTTCTCCCCCTTCGAGGCTCAACCTAGGCTAACACATGACCCGATTCTTCTCCCCAACTGATGTGAGATCTTATAATTCACCCCTCTTTTGGGGTCAGTATTCACAATTCACCCCTTTTTTGGGGCCAGTATTCTCATTGGCACTTGTTTACTTTTCCAATTGATGTAGGATCCCTAAATCCCTCACTAACATATTGCCCGATGTCTTACTTTTATTCCATTTGTAACCGTCCAAGACCACCACTAACAAATGTTGCCCTTTTTGGACTCTCCCTTTCACCTTTCGGGTTTTTCCTCAAAGTTTCTAAAACGCGTCTATTAGGTAGAGGTTTCTACACGCTTATAAAGAATGTTTCGTTCACTTTCTTAACCGAAGTGGAATCTCACTGCCTATCCTTATTAAACTAGAAGTAACCTGAAAAGGAACGTTTTGGCTTAGGATTCCTTAGAGCATCATGTTAATGTTGGATCCACAAGTTCTAAGAGGCTATATAAGACACGAACAAACTTATAATCTCGACATTTTCGGATTAGCCTGTTAGCTCGGCAATCCCGTATGTTAAAAGTGCCGGTTCCATTAAATTGGTAATCACAATACAAACAGCCAGATGGGGGAATGGCATGCCTTTTGCACATAATGAAACCTAAAAAACCTACATCTTTAGACAATTGATACCCAAATTACATGAACATTACAAAACAAAACAAACATATTGAATTTTTACAACACCAATTCTCTTCCTTTTCTTTACCCAAACTCAAACGTCAACCTCCTTCTTACCATTATTATCTTCCATGGCTTTGTCCAACACCACAACTTTCTTGTACTTAACAACGTCCATCTGCTGCACCGCTAACTCCTCAGGCGCCACTGGTCGCCTATTGCCGAAGATGGTCCATAAATACAACGCCACAAAGGCTGTCAATGCCCCACACCCAGTCCCAAAAATCATGGCTGCAACTACTCTCATAAAGCAATTATTGCCCTCTTTAACAACATTTTGAGGTTCTGATTCCTTACTAATGGCGATAGACTTCGGATCCAGGGGCTCCGAATGCATCCAATTCGGAATGTTCTTGAGCTTGAAGCTCCATGAATACATCAAACATGGCTGCGATGAGTTCCTATTTGATGAACTCAAACCCACCAGCAGTTCCTCGTCTTCACTCCAAATCTGAGAGATATCAATTGGGAATGAAAGCAATGCCACAGATGGCTTCTTGTTTAAGGTGTTTTCTGCTACTCTTACTTCTAATTGCCTAGAACCCGCCTCGTAATCTATCCAAGCGTGCAAATTCTGCCCTCTAATTAATGCCGATGAACTGTTTGAAAAAATGCCTGAATCAGCAAATGATGTATTTCTCTTGTAACCCACATCAATTCCTACCAAAATTCTAACCAGATCGCCATTCTTAGCATCGGAAGAAGTAGTAAATTTAACAACGATCATGTTGAACTTCTGTTTCTTCTCCGATTCGAAATTAAGCCCAAATGGTCCGTAATCAAAGGCACTGACATTAAAACTACTAGGAACAACAACAAAACCCAAACCATCCGCACCTGAATTTGGCGACAAAGAAAACGAGAAATCAGTCGAGAAAGACATCAATCTCCTCGATTTACCTCGAACGAGTCTGATGGGTTTCTTGTACACGATTCGCCCAGCACTAGAAGTGGCCGGAGTAGTGAGACGGAGAGCACTGCCGCCATCGACAACCGCCGCATCGCCGTAGAGAGCAACATTGAGCTCAAACTGTGGATCTCCACGAAACCCAGAAAGGGAAAACGAAGGAGATGAAAGAGAATCGATGGATTTGAAGAAAAGGAAGAAGAAAAGGAAGGAGGGGAGATGAAATGCCGCCATGGCTGAAGTGAAAAAAGCTTGAGGGAGTATTACAAGATGAAAGAAGGCTAGTGCGGTTGCTTTGGATTGTGGAGTAAAAACATGTTCTTCTTTACCTGCGAATGAAACTTTCTTTTTTTCTGCAACTTTTTTTTGTATATATATATATATATATTTCCACTAGGGTTTGAAGATGGAAAGCTGAAGAAGAAAGTAAAGAATCGACATTAAAGGGTTTGGTGGGCTCGGAGGTTGAGGAAATTAATTGCATCTACTCTTAACTCCATTGTTTTTGCAATTATGCCCCTCCTGCTCTTTCACTTTTCAATTTCCCCCTAACTAATTTCCAAATATTCACAACTCACACCCTATTTTTATTATTATTATTATTAGCAACTTCCCTTTTTTTATTTAGACTTTACGCATTATATAGTAATTTATATTATTGCATCGGTACTATTTTAAATAGAAATTTTATTTCTTAAAAATATTGGAATATTAACAAACAAAAAAAAAAAAAATCCCCAAATTATTTACCAAGAAAATAAAAGTCAATAGAAAAAGGGGCAAAATATAATTTATGTTAAGAAAGTGTGGGGGTAGTTTCGAATATAAGGAAAAATGATGGTGAAACTGAAAATAGAGGGAAAAAGAAGTGGATTTTAGCAAATTATGGAAACATATTTAACCGTTATTTCAGAAAGAGAGAGTTGACGGGGGAAGTACACTGTCGTAAAGTCACGCGCTCCTTGTTGGCTTTTAAATAGCAGCATTAAAACGGGACACGTGTACAGGCCTGTGAGCGAGTACGTTTTCTTCTTCATCATTAATTTCTTCAATGTTTCAAAAATAATTTAAAAAAAATGGAGTGGTGGGAGGATTATTGGACGACGTGTCGGGTCGGGGGACCATTAAAATGGGGAAGGCTTTTGGATTTGGAATTGCGTATAAAAATAGAGGGGGGCATGTGTGGTCTTTTGACATAGAGATTTGAACGACAGTGCGCGTGCTTTTGTATTGTCGTCTTGGCATTATCAAATTACCAAACAAAGCCATTGTCCGACAATAACTCGTAGTGCTCTCTTCAAATTGCCTTTTCCCTCTGTTATTTCCTCATTATTACATTTTTCACTTTTTATTTTATTTTTTTTTATATATATATTTTTTATTTTTTGGTGTTATAAAAATACAGTTATTAGTAAAAGTTTAGATATATTTTACTTTTTTTTTTTGTCATAAAATGATTTAGAGGAGAATTAGGAAGAACTCGCCTTCTTATACTTTGACCAATTGATGATTAATTTGTCGATAAAAAATCTACTTTGACCAACTTTGACTTTTATAAAGCTAAATTGTTACCATTTGGTAACTCTTTGTGTTACTCTTCAAAATACTTTTCAATCTTAAATAAAAAATAATAATTAAAAAAAAACTTTAATTTATACCCATACTTTAAAAAAATAAGATTCAAATTATCTTGTCATACGTTTGATATTTAAATCACTCCACAACAAAGATCGACTGTATCAAACTTGAATGGTAAACATGCAATCTAAATACTTATAATTTCAAATAACTTAATCATTGGTTAAATGAAAGCACAAATGCTCATTTTACTGAATTTTTCAAGTCTTCATTCACAAACATAATATACATTACTATATATAATCTTAAAATGAAACCCCTGATCTTATCTTAGTCATTTTAAGAGTTCATACTTTATGATTATAATTAACCAAGATGTAAATGTAAAAAAAAAAAAAAAAAAAAAAAAAAAAAAAAAAAAAAAAAAAAAAAAAA